GGCGGCTTTTTAGGTTTCCCTGGGAACACACATTTCCTGGCCCGGGGGTAGCCAACTTGCGCGGGGATACTGAAGGGTTCCCGGGTAGTTAAGAAGCCCCTCCTTGCCCATGGTGACGTCGCCACAGTACCCAGCTCGCAGTGGGGATGCCATTAAAAAACCAAAGGCGGCAACCTAAGCTCACGTTGCGTCCCATTGGCATGCTCATCGGTCTCCGCTTCGACGCCACGCTGCCCGTGCGGCACCGGCAGCAGCTTGCGGCGGTCCCTCCGCCTCTCCTCAACGAGCAAGCAACCTGCGCCGAACTCGCCGCCTGGATCGCCTCTGTCGCCGGCGTCGGCGTCGGCGGGTTGCCGGTCCTGTCCCTCGGTGGGCTGGTGGCGCCGCCGTCGCTTCCGGCGGCGCCCTTCCTCGCCCGCGCCGACGCGAGGGACCTCCTCATCGACGTCCATCCTCCGGACGACAACCTCTCGCTCCCAGCTGCGGCTGCCGCCTCCGCCGCCGCCGTCGCCGCCGTCGCCACCGCCGCCACCGCCGCCGGCGCCGGCGCCGAGGCTTCGCCGCAGGTGTCCGCGACGGCGGCGGCGTCGTCCAAGCGTGCGCGCCGCTCGTCGGCCGACGCCGCCGACGCGGGCGGAGCCTCAAAGGCCGCAGCCAAGGAGGAGCGGCGGAGGGCGCGCCGCCGGGAAAAGGAGGAGAAGGAGGCGAGGGAGGCGAGGGAGGCGAGGGAGGAGGCGAGGGGTCCGCCGCAGCGTCGCCGGCGTGTGGTGTGAAGGGGTCTCTTCACAGCTGCCGACGTGAACAGGCGAGGAGGACGCGGGCAGAGGACTGGAGGTGTGAACGGCGTCTCTTCACACCTGCAGCTGTGAACAGGCGCGCTCACTCGCTGCTGCGGCGGCGCCTCCTCCTCCTCCTCCTCCTCCTCCAACGCCGCTCGAGGCGCCGCCGCCGCTAGAGCGACCCTCGTTTGCAATTACGGCGAATCTCGGGGAAATCTCGGGGAAGTCTCGGGGAAATCTCGGGGAAGTCTCGGGGAAATCTCGGGGAAATCTCGGGGGAGATCTCGGCTGATTGCTGCGCAGGAGCGGCCTCCTCGCATCACGGTCCGATCTCAACAAATCTCCCGCCATGGCCGCCCTGCCGTCTTCACACCTCCACCGCTGTGAACAGGAGCAGCAATCTCCTCGAATCTCCCCACACCCCCCGCCCCCGCCTTCCCACGCGCACCGCTGTGAACAGGGGCAGCCCTCGCCGCTCTTCTCCCACCCGCCCGCCCCCCCTCCCCCGCCCGACCCGTGGGCATCGGAGGGAGAA